GGCTTATCATTAAAAGTGGTTGCAAGTGACGTGAACAAATCACTGGGAAAGCTACAAAGGACATTAAACATATTATTATTGTCATTATTTAATTGTGTCAGGGTTGCTAACTCGGGGCCAGTGTATATCATAGCAGGTGGAAGTGTTTGTACCTTGATCTCCTGGATCTGAGCGTCCAGTCCTCCGATGTCAGCGTAGGTTTCTTGTGGGGCCTTCTCCACCTTCATCACTGTCACCAGGGGATCAGTGTCATCCATCAAAACACCAATCACAGCATGGACCTACGAGTGACACACAAACACAGGTAAATTATGAATTGTGGCAGTTAAGAGTTGGCAGAAACAACACAAAGTTATCTTGAAATGCATTTACAAAAAGGGTAAACCTGATATTAAAACTATCTTAATTGTACCTTGTGATTGAGCAGGACAGAGCAGCCAGGCTCCAGCAGATCTTTATCCACAAAGGAGAGGATGCTGACATAGTGCTCTGATCCCACCGAGGTGGAAACGATGGCGTGGTTGTCATCGATGATTTCCTCCAGAGTGCCCACGGACATAGGGGTTCCTCGCAGGTCGTCCACCTTTGACCTCTCCTCCTATAGAATAGACACGACCAGGATTATCAAAAGTTAAATGGTAGGAAAAATCAAGATCTGTTCTCCTCAGTGACTTAACCAAAGATAAATCAGTATAAAAAGTCAAATAGGGTAGTGTTCCTATATTTCTCCTAAAAATCATAGCACAAAAGCAATAGAGATATGTAGAACAATAACTGACCTCCTGTTTCTCTTCCAGAGGCTTCATCTGCTCCTGGTTTCTGATGAACTCCTCCTCCATCAACAGGTAATCTTTGATCCGCTCCTGCTTCAGCAGCTTCAGGCGGCATTGAGTGTGAGGAGTGACTGAAAGACAAACAAAAAAGGTCGGCATATGTAGTTAGCAAAAAATAAAAACATAAACACCAAATTCATCCAACCAAAAACTTGATGTTTCACAGAGCCTCTTCAGCTTGAATGCTGTCAATATCATGACCGCTTGTAACATTTTGTTCTCTTTTATATTGCCAAATAAGGAGTTTTAATTGTATACCAATCTGAGTATCCTTAGTTGTAACCGGTGAGCTTAAATCGCGTTAGGAAGGAGACCTTAGAGCTCAAGACTTCTTATGAAATACAGCTCAAACAAAAACAGACCACCAGACAGATAGAAACACGTCTTCACATGTCTATGTCTTTGCAGTTCCTTACCTAAAGGTAGTTTACTGGCAGCATCTGGTCCCTTGGTCTTTTTCTTTCTCTTGCCAACTCTTGTGGGAATTGGAGGCTCATACTTCTTTTTCTTATCCTTCAGTTGGAACAAGGTGGGATGATGACAAATGTCAGAATAGGATATAACCAGAATCCCATCACCTACAGCAAAACATTCATTGTTCGACATAATGGCACAAACAGCCATTGTTAGAACAGAAGCATTTTTTTTCTAAATAAGGCCTTTAGTGGACCAGGATGGCTTGTCAGACAATACGAGCTTATGCAAAACAACATTTTAATCTTATATATTTAATAAATAAATAAACACAAGGCAATTACTTTATTGATAATCATATATTACAGCACTAACTTTCAATGTAGACCATCACAATAAATTACCCAAACGTGTCAATATGCAAAATGTCCATATACAATTTGGGTTTTTTAAATTTGAAATGTAATGTCACGATTAACTCGTTTAGTTCAGAGGGCACACGAAGGATAATATGTGGCTAGCAAAACAAAACGGTCAGACACTAAGCTAGCAGAAGCTGTGTCATCCTCACCTTGTCATCCTTCTTGCCTCCCCCCGGTCCGTGGCCTCCACTCTGGCTTTGACCCTAAAAGAATATCAGATATATGTTAAAAACAGCTGAAAATAAAAATATCCACCATTGTATGTTGGCCTTTCTGGTTAGTTAGACATTTCCCTTCATAGCTCATTAGCTTAGCTGTTTACAGTGAAGTTAGCTTACTTCGCCGTTAACATTACCTGCCAGGATAGCTGAATTCAACACATTTCCTTGTATTACTATATAAAACAATATGTAACACTGTCATCCACAAAAAACCTCACAAACTTGAAAGAAGTCGGGAAAAGCCAACCGTTACCATATGAATGACTATGCTAATAGTAGCTAGGATAACGAGTGCTCCAAACCGAGAAAAATAAGCTAATGTTGCTAGCTTTAGGCTCTACCCTACTCTCAATTATATACAAGTTGTTAGTTCACACATAAGACATAAAGCCGTCTAAAACGACACGACAGCACGAATGTTGACGTGTCAAGTACCATGATTTAAAGTTGTATTGGCGAATATGATGTTTATGTAAAATAAATATACGAGCCGAAGAGAAAATTGCTTGCTCACTTACCATTGTTAGTTGTCGCTCTGAAGTGACGTCACTCGGTACGGCAACACTAACGGCCAAAAATCTCCGGGAAAGAGAAGACACCTGTGACTGGAATGAATCATGAATGGTCCACTTTTTTAAGCCTTATTTAAAAAAAAAATACTTTAATGGGTTACTTCCTTTAAATTAAAACAAAACGCATTCAGCTGGGATTTTTTAACACAACCTTTGTATTGCACTAAACTGTAATCCTCCCTACTACTTGTAAAAATGTTTATGATAGCATACCATTTTGTCTACAAGTTAAACTGCTTCTATTGTTGTCTGTTGTCTATTGTATGTACAGACTTGAAAGCTCAACTCATTAAAATAGCACACTTTGTTGGTTAAATTAGAGTTTGCCTTCACATTTTATTAAAATAAGTTTGATAAAATAATTTGTGGGTTGTTATGGTCAAATCTGACATTATGGCACATTGTAGCTGATGACTATGAACCATAATCATGAGTCCATGTGCAAATGCATACTAGCAGCTGATTTCCGTAGTTTATTGTATGCCACTAAAATAGGCAAAATAATCGACATGGTGTATGCCATAAACACGTAGGTGGAAAAGACATAAACTACAAGGAAGACTTTCATATTGGACTTTATTTACATCCTCAGTACTGCACAAGATCGTGACATGGGTTGGACATTGAAGAGGATGGGAAAGAGATGCAGAAATAATTGTCTCGATTTTGTTTTTGTACAAATGAGCCTGTCACTGACTGTGCATATGCTTGGTTTGATTACCACCGTGTGCCACATGGATGTAACCCCCTCGGATTTCAGGGACAATTTAATTGGCTTGCTTGCTTGCTGTTTGCCCTCCCTTGTTACAGTCATGCTGATGATCAATCAATAATTATGCACACAACATGACAACACATTCCAGCAATTCCAACTATTCATTCAGGTAATTAGCTAACTGGGCAAGGTTTTCACTTGTTGCGTAGCTAATCCCACTGGTCGGACATGTTTGTATACTGTATGTGCAAAGCCATTACCTGACCCAAATGGTTGCATATATTACACATTATATAATACGTGTAATATATAAACTTGTGCTTTTTCCCAAAAACTGTATCAGTCATAGTAAGGAAAATACACTCACTTTCATTTATTCTCAAATGTCTTCACAGTATGGTCACACATGCATCTTCACTAAGGTACACAGAGTTTTCACACCTATTGTGAACATCATCATAAAATACCCACCTTTGAAAGGATTTCCCTCTAAACCTTGCATGCCTGAGACAACCTCTGCAGAAGAGCATAATAAAACCACATGACTGTTCCATCAGACTGAGCATCAAATTGTCTCCAATGCAAAGGGTCTGAAAGCAGTGTCAGTAATTCTCTGGGAGTTGCCTTAACTCAGACTACAGCTTTGACAAAGAGTCTTTGTATGTCTGCATCTGTCCGAGTCTCGTCTGTAGCACACACGCACTTGTGCGCACATACAGAATAGCAGGAACACACAAGCATCTGTTCAAAGCTATAATTATCTGTAGGCACCGCTTCTCTGTGATTTTGTGTGCGTGCATCATGCATCTGCGTTGACAATAGCTAAGCAACATCATTGCAGTTTGGGTATCAGAATATTCTTTCCTAATGTGGGACTATCTTCATAGCAAAAAATGGAGGCTGCCAAATTCAGGTTATTTTTGTCAGTTCTTACTGTTTATAAGATATTACATTGAAGTGGTTAGGGATTTTAATCAAGCGTTTGCTGACTAAGCTAACATTTGCAAAATGAGTTGTTATAAAAGACTGTCTCTGGCTTACTTTTCATTGTTTCCAGCACTAAACAACAATTGTTAAAGAAAATATTCTTGTATAAGACTTGACAAACATGATATTGCTTAAAGACTGAGGCTAAAGCTGCATGCATGGCTCGAGTGTACTTAAACTTCCTCAAATCCAATAAAGAGAAAAGCAGATCTTGCAGCATCCAGGAAGAGCTATAAGGTGGAGAATGACCACACAGTGGAATTAGTGCTCATTAGCTGTTCTCAAGGGGCAACCTCCTTGTCCAAAGAGTCAAGGCTTACTGCAGTAAAAAAAATTCCTAATGGGTTTATGGTCTTGATTGCTAGTTTTGGTTATACCATTATTTTAGAGTTTTAAAAAAAAGTGTAAAAAGGATAAGGGACAGGGTATGCCTTAGGGAGCTTATACCCCATGGTGTCCCTAACACTGCATTGCTACCAAGCTTTTGTTTCAGCGTTCAGTTGTAGCCTACACTACTTTAGTAATTGGCTTTTCACTTTTTGGGGAAAGTTTATTTTCTGTTAAACATGTATTTTTGCAAGTCAAAGGGAGGGTACCAACTGATATCACAGTTAGTGTGAATTTCACATACACCTTGCTAATTAAACTAGCTTGCCAAAGCTAAAGTTAGCTTTTGAAAAATGCTCACAAAAAACAACAATGCTCACAAAAAAACAAGATGCCCCCATTTAAATGACCAAATCCGAGGCTTCCAAAATGGTAGTCCACAATCCAAATCAAATCAAGTTTTATTTATATAAATATATTTTTATATCAATCCAATATTGACTACGTCCAATTATTTTATACAATATAAGGCTTTTTGGCATTGGAGTTGCTCCTGTATTTCATAAGCTAGTTTGGTTATGCTCATGACATTAGCTTAGATTAGAGCAGATGAAAACTTTGTTTAAAAACACCTTCAAGCACCCTTTTTTTTGTGTTTTTTGTTTGGGAAAAGTTACACAAAGACACTATTACTAGACTCAAAAAATAACACTGCTCTAGCAGGTTGAGACATCCAAAGCTTCAAAGGTTAGCTGTGCATATTATAGTACCAATTCCTGATTAAAAAAACTCCATATGGGGAAATGGTTGTAACAAATATTCACTTACATTGTTTCTCTTTTTTATTATACAAATACATTCTTCAATCTTCACACTGCATATTATTAATGCTGTGTGCCATCTGAATCCGACCTCCTTCTTCTTTCATCATCATCCTAAAAGAAATCTATGCAGCCGTACCCCCGTACAAAAATATAGCACATGCTTTCTGTGCAGGTTTGCTTGATTATCAATTTATCAACAAAAAACATTGTCTGTCTGCTTTTGTTCAGACACTTCTTACACAATTCAGATTCCAAAAGATGTTGACGTCAGATGTGGAGTACAAGTATTCTCAACCTGTAATTTCTTCTAAGATGTATGAACAAAGAGAATTAAGATACCTATTCAATTGCAGTTAATGATATAGTGTCCACAAGTTGTCTTCATGCGTGGCTGATTTCAGGTTTCGGTCAATCAGTGTAGGCATGTTTTGAACAGTCCGTCCATTTTAGTAACTGCTTCTGCGGTGAACCTAGACAACAGGAAAAACATAAACCTTACACTGTTGTGCTAAAATGAAAAAGAATAACCCCTGGAGCTACCTTTTTCGACACATTATATAACTGCCAACCTCCTGGGACTGTAAGACAACATCAGTGTGAAAATGTCCTTCTATCTGCGTCTGTGCCTGGAGAAAGTGCTGCAAACCAAAAAGTAAACATCAGTCTAACATAATAGGTTTCATCTCAGTCGCAAAACATCACCCATTCAGCTGAAGATAATAGGTCTGTTTATTTCATAATAAGGTTCTCCTGGGATTCTTTTTCTTCTATTTGTCGTTATAATTAATTTAACCATTTCCAAGATGGAGGCTATTGAATGGCATATCAAAAGGCTTTGAAACATTTGTTTGAGTTAACAAGAGTGGCATTGCAAGTCTAATTGTAAATGATGCATTCAGGGTCAACACTATGGTCAACACATTAAATTAATTAAGCTATTTTTATGTCATTATGGATGTGGGTAGAGCCATAGTGAGTATTGAGTAAGTACGATATGTAAGGTGAAGAAGCGTGCAGTGCATTAGGATTTTAAGGCTTAGATACAAGTACTCCAGACAGGCCTTTTCTTTATATCACCATGGCAACTGCATTCCTCATGTGGTAACATCGTGGTTCAGAAGACAGGCTCCAGCCCCTCTAATTCATCATTAGTGTAGCCATGTTCTTGACAGGGAAGTTGGCGGAGATGATTGCTGCTGGGAGTCAGCGTGCTGTCAATGGATGAATTAGTCATGTATTCAGTCTTTAAACCACCCAAAGTCTCTCTTTTTTTTTCCAGGAAGGCTTTCCCCAGTGGAAATGTGTCCTTATCGGCTTATCCTTGCAGCCTTTTGCTACCCCTAAAAATAATTGTCTGTCCTATCTGTCCACGCTAGTCTCTGCCAAACGGTTGTTCATGATGCCAAGGGCTCCCACCCCTCCTGAGAATCCGTTCTGACGTGAATTGGAGCTGGACTGGCGCGGGTGCCCAATGGCCATCTCGGAAAGCTGCTTCTGCATAATAGCCAGATTGACCTGCAGGAAGGGAAAGAGATAAAGGAATGAACAGATGAGGATATATTTGCTCTCTGCGTTTGGAAGTGGTAGCTGCAACCTGTGAAGCCTTTCACAATGAGGATAATACAATGTGTTGGCAGCACACACATCTGATTTCACAGGTGTGATATGAGGCTACCAGATGGTGCCTTTCCTCTCCTTTTGTGGTGTCGATTTATGTGAACAATACGACAAATACTGAGCAAGTGTTACTGACAGAAAGCAGAACCTTATTTTTGCTTTATCAGTGTACAAAACAACCTGTAGGGAATAAACATTACTGGTGTGTAATATTGTTTAACATTTGTTTAATTAATATTCATTAATATTTAATGGAACTGTATTTTGGATTAATGGGTATTCTTAGCCATGGTAGTTGCATGACTGGATGTTTGTTTTTCATCCAGACAGAAATATTTCAACAGCTCATTTCATGATTTATCAGGAAATGTGTACAATACAGAAAGCCCCATGTGGGAAAAGCCTTCTAACTTTGGTGATCCCCTGAGTCTTGCACTACTCATATTGTAATATCTCAAAAAATATCCAATGGATTGCCATGGAATTTGTTATAGACTTTCATGCTCCCCTCTGGATGTTTTTTATGAACTCTGGTGATCCATATGATGTTTCATCTGGCACCATCATCAGGCAAATCACCAATTTCTCTAATTTAATGAGAAACTATAATGAAATTCCCATAAACTTAATCTGTACCTTGTGTTCAGAGCTAATAAGCTAAAAAACAAACTGAGATGGTGTACTTGTACAGGTCCATGTTGCCACTAAAGTCTATATACACATCTTCAATGTTCAGCTGTCCCTGATTGAACATCTAAAGGCCCGTTTGTTACATTATGCAACAGCAGCATTCTGTTTTTCTATGACATGTCTCGTCTACATCCTCTCCACCCCTCCCTTTCCCCTCATTTTCTCTCTTATTCCTCTTTGCACATGTACAATATGTAACCTGCCACTTTTTCAGACTTTAAATGCTATTCCTGTGGCACTCTGATGTTATCAGATAGTTCTGAGGCAGAATCCAGCTTTGACCAACTTGCTTTTGTTGGTATTGACCACATATACTTTTGTGTAATGTAAATATATATATTATAATTTTTTTGTCAGTTGCACTTCCATAATCAAATATGTCTTTTTTAGCCTTGCGGTTGCCCCTGTCGGCCACCGTAATCTCTTCATAGCTCTAATTGGACATGTGTTAAGCATCATTAAGCCTTGTTAGATCCTTGTTACTGAAGTTTTGATGCCATTTGTAACTTTTTAAATACATATAATGAACTATGGATGGGTAGTCGCAACACTACAACGTGCTTAAAAAAGCCCTGCTAGCATGTGTTTTCTAATAACACTTACCAGTCCCCTTGCCTATAAAAATATCTCTGATTTTCCTGTCGTTTCCTTTGTCTTTCTCTTGGCTCCACCTATGCCTATGCCTAGGAATAAATGAATGTTGTTAATAGTTATTAATAGTCAATGAAGCAGGTAAATCAAAGTGACATCGCTGGAGATTTGGCTAGTTTGCGTCAGGATATTCACATCCTTGAAACATCACACCATTTTGTCTTCTAATTATCTCAGCCAGAAACTTCAGGCTCAGTAATCAGAATAATAACCAGGTGTGAACATTCAGATTTTGTACTTTCAGTTGAGAATAACCCTGGAGTGAGTGAGTAACAATTTGATATTCAGCAGCACACACTGCTCATTCGTCTTGTCGGAAAAGTAGGGTGGCAGTTATGGAAATGTATGGACAATTGACACCTCTGAGTGTCTGAGAGGGCTCTTGAAATTGTGATAGCAATGGAGTAGGGAATTGGTATTCAGATACATTTTACACATAATATCCATGTAGCCTGGAAAACAGCAACAAAATCACACTGCTTCTTCCAGGAAGTCAAACTATGACTTGCACTACGCTACCTTTTTAAGTAAACTTTGTTTAAATACTTGTAATCTATAACAGATTATTTAATATTGGTGTGTTTAAAGGGAAACAGCGAGGCTGGGTAATATATAAACTTAACACAAGAAGTAAGGTAATTTGTGTTTGGTAGATGATTTCTATGTTGTAACAATACCTTTTGGCAATAAATCTTATACCGTTGGAAAGCCTGTTTTCTTACCTTTCCAATGGTACCACATTTGTGAGGAACACGCATTTGTTGGATGAGCAGCAGAGCTGAGTATGTGGGATGCGCCCATTAAAAATGTAACAAATCTCCTCTGCCAATGGCAAACAGCAGCCACACTCCGGTCTCGTACGGCTGCCAAGAGCCTGCCATGACTGCCCTGCACCTTCAGGCCCACTTAAACAGGAACCTCAACATGTGGAGGAACATTACGCTCAGCGATGAGTCCAGATTCTGCCTACGGCACATGGATCCTAGGGTCACAGTGTGGAGAAGACGCAGAGAATGCTTTGCTGACTGCTGCACCGATAGAGGAGTGGAGAGGATGGGATGACCTGCAGTCCTGACCTCAACCCCATTGAACCCCATTTTGGGTCAGTTTGGCCCTGCTGTCTGCTCCAGAGTGACCAACACAACCACGTTGGCTGACCTGGGACAAATGCTGGTTGAAGAATGGGATGCCATTCCACAGCAGGGTGTGAGCAGGCTGGTGACAGCATGAGGAGGAGAGGCTGTTGTGGCTGTGTTTGGTTCTTCCACACGCTACTGAGGCTGCTTGTTAAATGAATCAATTGTTGCCAATATGTCTTTATTTATCAGACTTCAATCATCTAATCCACCAAACAACACAAAACTAGAGTCAGCAGCAAAAAAATATGTTAGAGGAGATTTGTCACATTTATGTGGGGTATCACATTTTTCATGGGCGCACCCCACATACTCAGCTCTGCTGCTCATCCCACAAATGCTTGTTCCTCACAAATGTGGTACCACTGGAAAGGTAAGAAAACAGTATATAACGGTATAAGATTTATTGCCAAAAAGCATTGTTTCAACATAGAAATCATCAACCCAACACAAATTGCCTTACTTCTTGTGTTAGGTTTATATATATATAAAATGGATATCATGATAGACTAGATATCGTCCTACATTTTGGAAATCGTAATATCGCAAATGTTTCTTCTTTCAAAGGCAGTAAAGTGCTGTAATTTTATGACCATACATTTGAATGCTCTTAGCAATTATATCCAAATTCCAGATGTTTACTTTTTCAAAAACTGCTTCACATTGTGTTTATATCGTCAAATATCGGAACAATAGATCAGAAATATCGGGATATTAGATTTTTTCCAGCTATCCCTTCTGTTATATGATAGGTTACTTTTTGTTGGAGTTTCTTCATTGCCAATTATGCAGAAAAGCTGCAGAAGAGCAGAGCAAAGTTCAATACAGGTTATGAGGAGCAAGATGACAGAGCAGGGTGAATGAGGAGTTAATGACTAAAGTAAGCATGACTACAGGGAACCAATAAGATTGAATCAATGTCCGTTTTCCTAATCTTGTGAGCAGTTTAAATTAAATTACTCTGGGAGATAACTGAATATGTTGAGCGTCATAACACGTAATGACATTAGAGAGATGAAATGACTGTCAGTAACCCCGTGAAGCTCTCACCTTGTTGGCTGCAAGAAAGTCCCTCATGGAGATCATCTCCCCGGACATCCTGCGCCCGTTGTCGGTCTCACTTTCGTTGAGGGCATCCGTCTCGATAGAGGGGTCTCTGCGGGCGCGCAGGTGGCCCGGTGCCACCACGTTTCGTCGGGGGTGCCGGTGTGGGTGGTGACCCCTCCTGGGGAAACAGCAGCGACAGGGTGCGTCCAGCCTCCTCAGGAGCCAGTTCAGGACCTGCTTGATGACGATGGAGATGACGTTGAAGAGGGAGTAGATGCAGCAGACGCCGGTCAGGATGAAGAAGAAGTTTCCCAACCTATACGCGACTGTGGCGTGGCCCTCGTACACCGCCCGCTGGCTGCTCACCATGTCTCCAAAACCAATTGTGCTAAAGGCCACAAAGCAGAAGTAGAGCGAGTCCAGGTAGTCCCAACCCTCGGCTGCAGAGTACATGAGCGAGGCAGAGCAGGACACCACAATGGCCGCCATGCCTAGAATGAACATGACGCAGTAAACCGAAGGCTTCCAGCCAGCCAGATCCTCTCCTCTTTCTCCTCCATTTCCACCAGCTCTGTTTCCCTCAGACACCCGCTGGCCATTTGATGCAAGCGCAGCTTTTTTATGCCGATGTTCGTGACAGGACTTGAGGACCACGGCGATGACTGTGATGACACGCTCCAGAAAAAGGTTGAAGAAGAGGATGGTGGCAGCGCAGCCGAGCAGGCCGTAGAACATCAAGAAGACTTTTCCTCCAATGGTGGCAGGAGTGGTCATACCGAACCCTTGGAAACACACAAAGATATGCAATAAGGAAATATATACATAATAGGACTGGTGGTATGGCAAGCTCACGTTCAGAGAGTATAGCTAAACTCCTTAACTTTTACAGGTGCAGGTGGCTCTGAATAAAAAGGAGAGAATAAACGCTTCACAAAGCACAAGAGAAGCATTATTATCACTGGAAAACTATCACACACACTGTTGTAAATGAATGGATCCTTTGTAGAGAAGACCATTGTGTCCATTGCCTCCAGCTAATTGTATTTACCTTTTTAATCAAACTCATATCCTTTATGCCATTAACAAAGAAGGCTAATTACTGATCTTTCCTTCTCAGAGAGGGAAATCATTCTCAAAAAACTGGCTGAACCCCTTAGTTGCCATTGGTGACGTGCTCTCCTTCTCGCTCTGTCTCTTTGTCACTCACTTAATCAAAGCGCAAATGTGTTTTCAATCCAAGCACATCTTGACAATCAGAGCAAAGGTGTCTGTTTCTCTAACATTTCACTGTATTCCAGTTATTTAGCAAGTGAAAGTCCCACTGGGGCCACTTCACATGTCAATTGTTTCATGTTCTATCATTTTTAAAAGGTAAGAACCCATTAAACTGTTTTCTATTTATAAGGGACACACTGTTGGTGTGTAACTCTCTTTGTCTCTTTTGAACTGCTGAGAAACAAAATAGGACTCAAGCCGAGAGGTGCATCCATCGATCGCACAGATCTCAGCGATGTCTCCTTTTCATCCCTCATTTAGCACTTAAAGCTCAATGAAGCACTGTCTGTCTCTGTTCACCTGTTTGAGTTTGATATATTAATAACAATGTTATTGTCTGCAGATTCAGTTACATGCACGCTGTTTTGTTGTGCAGCTTGGAATTCTGACAAGAGCCTTTTCACTAGAAAAGCAAAGATACATTTGACTGAATCTCCTTTCATGAAATAACACTCTGAGCAAGGCCGGCCCTAGGATTGTGGTGAGCCTAAACTAATTTTGCAGATAGGGCTCTGTGCAGGCATAAAGCAAACATGTATAATAAGGAAAAAGCTATATGCTTGATCAAATTACTGCAGGAAGTTCCAGGGCATCACTTTTTAAAGCATGAGTCAGGGGAAAGTTTAGAGTGTTAAAAGACAAAATGAAAACGTATAAGGCTGAGGCAGTCTAATTTCCCTTACATGTCATGATATTGTCCTGCTACTTAGAAATGCAGCGTTCCTTAATGCTCACCACAATTCTTAATGAATTTTGGCATCAATTTTGGTAATATTTTTTTAATACTGAAGACGACACTCTGCTATCTCTGCGTGATACAGCCTCTCAGCTGGGCATCTCTTACACTCACATGAAACACATTCAGAGTATGTGGGGTGGAACTGACACACGATTTTTCTATCATGCACCAATGTTTTGAAGTGATGGTTTGTAAACACTCATTAACACTAACGCAGTGGCCCCCTAAATAACTGCTTATTGTGGTTATGCCAGTGGCCGGTCCTGACTAAGGATTTGATGGCCTCCACATTCAGATTTGGTCCCAAGGTTCTAATTGAGTCATCAATTTCCTTTAACCATGACGATAAATCCAAATGGCATGGATTTAATGATTTTCTTCCTCATTGTTTCGTGAGCTCAGTTGATTGTAGTGTGGATGAGTCATTTGACCTATTCAATGAAATACAGTGGCCTACATGAAAGAAATAGAAGATACTGTGCTTCTCTGTCAGTTTGACACCAGCATCAGGAATAAAAAGTCTACTCCTGATAAGCGTTAATGGGCTGCTGGAGATGGGCTACAAAGTGCTGACTTATCTTACTCTCAAATGAAACATTAGTCACTCAAAGAAAAATTATTTGTTTGTGTTTGTTGGAAGTATGGCTGATGCTTTTTTTCGGGAGAGTTAGATGAGAAGTTTTTTTTCCTGCCGGTAAATATGAAGCTACATTCAAGAGCTTGTTAGCTTAGCTTAATACAAGCTTTATTTGTTTGTCCAAATGTAAGCTTACCAAATTTCACATAAGCACCTTAAAAAAAACAAATTGTTTTTATCCGTAACATACTATTAAGTGTTTGGGTTAGGTTGAGCTTTAGAAGTGGCTGGTAGGCATATATTGTTATTTTTGGACCTTGAGCCATGTTAGCTGTTTCTGTTTCTAGACTGTGTGCTAAGATAAGCTAAGCTAGGCTAACAGGTTGCTAGCTGTAGTATTCAAAGTTGTGAAGTGGTAGTGGGAAGAGCTGCCGGTTCCAGTTTTTCCCCGGTTTTGTTATTCAATCCTTTTTTTTTTTTAAAGATATCCTCAGTTTGACATGTATGTAGTAAATTCAAAGGACATGGTCCTTGTTGTAATATCAACCCACGATCCAAAAGTCAAGCTATTGCTTTAAATTTGTTATGTTATAGCAAAAACTTAAAAAACATATACTCAGCCATTCACTGAAGACTCCACGTCAGTGAAAGTCTGCACGAGAACATAATGTGCATATGTTATGCATAAACATGGCTGCAATGCTCTCTTGAAGGCTTCTCTTCCATGTATCTATCAATGCTCTGAAGCCAAACCCGTCTCACGGCATTTCGTGATTCACAAAATGTAATCTATTGATTTGTGTACACCAACACTATTTTTGTCACATAGAATGATTTTAAAAACAATGTATTTCTATTGGAAGTATAGCTTTGGTGCCTATCACCTCTTTTTGTCAGGGCGAGAGTCGAGTTTGGGTTGTTGATGCAAAAAGTGCTCTCGATGAGGGGCTGTATACATCCTCCAAAAACTGATAATGAGGCTACAAACAATCATTGTCTTCCTTTTTTTCCTGGTATTTTAGTAATCACGGGTGAATCATCGGATTAATATGGAGATCACTTTTTTTTTAGACCAACATTAATCACAATGTGTTCAATTAAGAACAGTCTGGACCATCATCAACATAACTAATGCCCATGATCAATCTGTCAAACTGTCAATAATCATGAAACAACTCACTCCAATAACAGGTGAAGATGACTACTGATTAGCTAATGAGGAAAAAAAACATTGAGAGTGTATAGGGTAGGATCAAATCCATGATATCGACAACAGAATATCAACAGGGCTATCGTTTAACAGTGCTATTGGTTAGGGGAACATGGCTTTACTGTTTAGGAAATGCTGACTTTCAGAAGCAGCCTGTACTGAAATGGAAAAAACGGTTGTCAAGGACAAATCTTGCTCTAAATTGCCTTTTTTCTAGCCTTGTTCGGTTGAACCTACTGGATCAAATCACAAGTCATGGCCAATAAATATTACACAGCGATGTACATAAAGAATAACTTGAAGTATCTCTTAGGACTAAATAAAGATACACAAACAGATATGAGAAAAGTGGAGGTCCTAATTGAATGCAAATCAGGATTTCGATTTGTCACTGGTGCAACTCATGTCTCTAATTACGGCTTAATTATTACCAGGTGTGCTTGTTCCAGAAATAGTGTGTACATGTAGGCTCTTTGTTAGGCCAGTATGTATGCTTCTATGACAATGCAAACGTCAGATAACTGGGCTTTGAACATCTTACTAACATAAAATACAGTGAGGGGGTAAGTTTCTATTTACATTTATTTTATTTTGGCTCGTGGAGAGCGAGTAGCTGTGATATTTAAGACGCAAACAAGGACTTTATGAAGATTATGGAGATACTAAATAGTGGATTTTAAAATGATTTAAATAAAAAGATAATAGAGCTGACAGAGAAAATCGCAAAATCACTGTTTTAAAACGCAACTTTTCTCCATCTCACCAATTGTTGACACCACCGTCCCCACAAAGTAAAACGCGCCGGTGAAGTCCCATCGAGGTCGGATTGTGTCCACGCGGATCCCCGCCACGTTCGCCTCCTCGTAGTTCCTCAGGAAGTTGTTTAGGTCTTTCTGACTCAGGTTGTACTTCTTGCTGAAATGCTCGAACCTCTGCTCCCAGCGCTCCTTCGCCTCTCGCTCCTTTGGCTGCTCCAGCGCGGAGAAGACTGCGGCCCCACAGAGGAGATAGATGATGATGAACAATGCCAGCAGCAGGAACCTTGCGTTATCCTCGTTTATTGGACCGGAGCCGCTCCTACATGCCATTATGTAGCTGTTGTCAGCGTGGCGCAGCTCATGTGAGGTGGCATGGTGTTTAGGAATAAAAACGCACCGTCCTCGGAATAAACAGGTGGTTTTTTTTACGATAGAAAAGTCCAGAGCAATAAGATTACATTCTTATATATCGAGTTGTCCCGAGGCGGTTGATGTGGCATTTTGCTGATGAGATTCTATGCAGCTGAGCCCAGGTCCAAAACGGTTCTCCTCCACTGTCAGCAATCTAAAGATTCACTGAGAGGAGGAGAGAGGCAAGCAGCAACCTGTGGATGCAGACTCGTCCTGTTTTACTCTCTGGTCCTGCCTCTCCAAAGGAGTCCCCACCCCTGAGCGCGAGTTTTACGCACCGCTGATTGACCACCAACATACAGAAGCATTTACAGCCTCTGTACATTTATCACTAAAAATACGTCTATTTTGCTAGAGCTACTACTATCCAGACTATTATCTAATTTCAGCCTGCATAATACAAATCGAAGGAATTGACCTGAGTCCAACTTTGGAGGTTTGATTTCGACAAAATAGAGCGCGTTTGCATAGGGAAATCAATAAGACTTGACCTTTCTCTTTCTTCTGATGAGGGATTCATGCTCCTGTCCGCGCTCACCCAGGGACATGTGAGCAAATGTCAGCACGGAACGGCGGTGCGAGATAAATTATTCACGATCACAGGGACAACAAAGAGCTATTTCTGTAAAATTGGGATTTATTTTTCAATAACTTTCCAGAACCATGGACAGAGCTGCAAGACTTTCAGGTCACACTTAGTTTGGGAAAGTTAGAGAGAAATTGACTGATTCGAAGATCGAAAACAAAAGACGTCTATTAACAACAGTTACAAGGTAGACAATGAGTTAATCCTAATTGTAATTTAAAAACAAGCCAAAACGTGCAGTTTTCCGAGCTGGAAAACTTCCATTGTTCTCAATTTGCAGCCGAAGGAGAGACGAATGCGCAGGGACCGTCTACAAAGTGCAATGCCGAAAAGACATTCCCAAACTTCCAGTCATACAATAAAGTGCTACCAAAATCACTTCACACATTAGTGGTCTTGGTTTTACCACATCAACAACTAAGGGGAAATTACAGTTTTTTTTTTATTTAGTTTTTCTTATAGAAAATATTCCATATGCCTATACCTGCATTTATCAATATCTTTCTGACTTTACCGAGCTTAGAAGTTGTATCGCAACTCCAGTCTTCAGTTTCAAGTTGCCAATTAAACTTTAAATATTGGGCAGCGACAGAAAAGGAAGTCTTATAGGGGATATCCGATTTATTTTGTTTTTTGTGTCAAAGCATTCAATTGTGTTCTATTGCTGTCGTGATGTGAAAATAATTCGTAGAAATATTGTAAAAAAATGAAGCGTTATTGCTAATCTTTTCACTGTAACGTGACAACAGATGAATGTAATATTTTACAGTTAACAATTATGTCTGATTTAAACACTTAAGACATTATCAAGGATTTTTTTAACTGAAACTGGAAGTCTATCAGGAATGACGTCGGAAGTGGAGAGTCACTTCTTGGGCTGTGTCTTGCAGCACTGTGTACACACCCCACAGATAATCATACCATGAAAAATATGTTTGATAAATGCAAGAAACCCTTATGTAATAATAGGCAACATCAGAGAAAGCCAACAATCTTCTTGATGCCTACTGTGTACATGACTCGCCCCCTGATTACAGGACTTAGTAGACCGGGCCAAATCCATTCCACACTGCCGAGTATCGATATTTTACTGGCAATTAGTTTGAGATTAGTGTTGATTGTTGTTTCTCATCTCAGAGCAACTGCTATTTATCTAAAGTGGTTGTTGAAAGCTATCAAAGACTAATTTTCTCTGGTTTCTCATGGTTGAACAGCACTGTCAATTCTGGTTTGTTAAGTCATAGGATTTCATGTTGTTGAGCTTGCTGTAGTCATAACATGCTATACTGTAGTATTCTATACCATACTTTAATATACAATAAATTACTACACTATACACCTAGAATAAACCTTACTACGCCTCTCTACCCTGTATTGTTACATACTATACTTTACTAGACTATACCATACTAAACTATACCATGCTGAACGACAGTATACCATATTATACTACAATATATTGTACTGTACTATACTATGCCGTATTTTACTATAATATACTAGGTTTTCTATAACGCTATACCACATTACCATACATTTTATTTTTCTATGCTATGCTATACTATTCCATACTATACTATACTATACGATGAAACGCTATACTGCACAAAACTATAGTATACTATACCATATACTCTAAACTATACAGTGTTTCCCCTAGGTTTACTGCTTTGGGGGGTACTCTTTTTACCCCAGTTACACGTTCCATTTGCCCTGTACGATGGGTACTGTAAGTGGGGGATGTTGGCTTATCAGGCACCCGCTAAAATCTAGCCTAGGGCAGCAAATTGGTCAGAACCGGCCCTGCCTCCTTAGGTGTCTTTCTTAAAATTTAAGCAGAATCCGATTTTTTTGGAAGTTTCTGCATCTCCCCCAAAAAATGGACAGTCGAACTGACCTACAGTCCCTCTCGATGTCAACCATACTAAACAGTGGCTTTACTAACTACCCGGATAGTGGTAAAAAAAAAAGAAAATACATGCCTATTAATAATACAAAATGATAGCTTAGTTGCAAATTAGCTATATGTATTTTGTTAATGCTTTTTTCCTGTAACTACAGCTTTTTTAAAGTATTAGTAAAGCTAAATGTATTCTGTCCTTGTTTCATAAAGCACTGGAGATTATTGGGCTGTAGTTTCTATTAATGATATAAATCCTAGTACAAAGATGGGTATTGAGTCAGGCTCCATTACATTTAAAAATGTTCCCTTTAATTCTGTATTCCCTTGAGAGAGGGGTTAGTTTGTTTCAATAGTAGTGCACTACTATTTCAATACACTTTGTTGAGTGAAAAGACTGAAAGCCCCACTCTTCTTCAGGCTGGTTAAAGTGAAATTTGTTTGACAAACCAGAATAAACACATTTATTTAGAAACACTGACATCATGAACAGAGTTCAGCATATGCATTCATATTATTGTTAAACATTCATGACTGTGCATATATGGCTGTGATTGTAAGTGATTAATTATGACTGGGCATTCACAAGCATGCGTGTGGGTGCGTACATATGCAATTGTCCTATTTATGCTCACACACAGATACATATATAATTCTGGATCTGGTTTGCATGCCGTAATTTCTTCCCAATAGCCAGTGGATTCTTTGTTTAAAGGTAACCTATTTTTCTGTGGGCAAACTTTCATTAATTATTAAAGAAGCCCTATAATGCTTTTTTGTGTTGACTCTCTCCTGTAGTGTGTTATATATAGGTTTTTGTGCATGTAAATGGTCTGCAAAGACTAAAATCCCTGTGTTCCCTCCAGAGGGAGTTTCTCTCCCACGCAGACTTGGCTAGCACTACAGCACATTGTTACATGATAGGCTAAGGAGCTTTTTGATCAAATCATGGAGACATGTCACAGTAAATGTATGAAATACAGATGTGAAGCTGAAAATTGGCTTACTATAATAAGGAAAATGCACATTTAATTTAAATATTTCTCTTATATACATTGTTGAAAGAAAAAGTAATCAAGTTATTTATCTTTGTGAGAAGCTGTATTGTGCTCATTTTGCAAAACTCACTATGTTTTCCATGCAAGCAATGGATTTATATATTTGCCAAGAAAGCCACACTTTTACAGCTGACCTTGGTGAACTTTTGTACCAAATAATGTCCTTCTGCAAGGAAAACCACATCTGACAGCATATGATTATAAAAGTATATCAGAATGAAAACAGCATGAAGAGAGCTACTTAACTCATTAGTCACTATAGACTGTATATAGTAATCACCCTCACAGCTCTCCTAATATACACATTAAAGCAGAGGATGAAATGAACTTGTATTTACTATAGGATATTGTTGAACAGTTGAACAAAAACGTTGCCACTGAAGGAGACATCAATGAAAGATAAATTCCCTAAATTCTGGTCTTAGTTACACATTTTGTCAGAAAATGAGACACGTCAGTCTATTGACATCAAACCAAATATGATGAATAAGATGCTCAAAAAGCTTTACATCGGGAAAACAAATATAAGGTCTTTCATAACTTTCCTTATACCATATACAGCTATTATATATCAAAAATATAACAAGAACACAGTGTTTGACACGTTCTTGGTGGGAAAATGTGAATTTATAGAGGATGCTGAAGCATGTAATTACTTTTTGTAATTTACTGTTGTTTTTTTCTGGAAAGTACGGTCTGTTTCCATGGAAATACATCGGGAATGTTCAAATAAGGGTTATTCATGAGCTGAGTGTTGAGACATTTAACCGCAGAAGCAGACCTGATAACGGTCTTCTTATATACAATCATGGGACTTTTGCTTTCTGATGTGAACACAAGGTTGCAGCTTTACAACTGACAACAATCTCCCCAATACCCTGTAGCCAAGGTCGCAGCCATTTGCCATCAGCCTCTACATCCATAAGTGGCCACTTCACCTTACTTTATAAGCAGCGTCATGAGGCGAGGACTCTAATGATTTGCACACCAACACATGTACACATGCCCTTAACAAATGGGAAATGCTTAGAATCATGGTTGAGGGCTTTTTTAAACACTTAGCTTAAAACACATTAGGAACATCCTTTTTTATGCTTGTTTATATTATTTATTTTTGTTTTATTCATTGCTATTGGTGAGAGAGGCACAGACAAATAAATAAATAATGTATAATAAAGAATATATTAGACAGAACACAACTAACAAAACCAACCAAATATAAGATGATAGAAACATATAGCTTTTTTCCAATAAATGTGCAACCATGTTATTAAGGGAGGTTATGTAGGGCATATTTCTGATAAAAAGGAAGAGAGGAAACAGTACAAAAAAACGCACATCATTATTTTAATATATTTTTTATTTTCAGCTATTTTCATTTTATTCCATTAATTTATTTAATATAATTTAATGTAATGTATTATTACTAATATTCATATTATTATTATAAAAGCAGGTTGGCTACTCTGATCCCCATAGAAACAATATGAGCAGCTGGACTTTCTTGATCAGTGCACATTAAACGATAACACCTCAGTTTAT